GTATATATCTGCACACTACCATATTTATGTTATGTATCTAAATAAGAAAGATAATGTACGATTTTATACGGTTATATTTTATGTGTGTGCAAATATTTAGGTATGCGACATTGTAAATAAGCAAATATGACCATTCAGTTCTTGCTACAAGTTATAAAATTTATGCTGAAAGACAATATGAATCGATAGCATAATTCTAGGCTTTATAAAGATAGATTCATGATTTTCGTAATTAGAATAATTTTTATTGTCCCGAGGCTGTATATATATTGTCTGATTAGAAAATCCCAATTGTTGAAAATCAATGAATCATTCTTTATTTATAACTCCATTGTTTTTAAGGTAATAACAACTTTGTTACATTACATGCAATATTATACTTTATAAATATATTTAGAATTGATGCGAAGTTGAAACTTCTAATATACTTTAAGATAAAGTTTTCTATTTATGTTTCTATTTATTTGTTGCCCACTTATTTATTTATTCATTTATCGATCTAACAACATTTGAAATAAACATAAAGTTGTCTGTAAAGAATTGTTAAAGAATTAAAATTATTTGAATTTATTTAATTTATATTATGCTTATTTAAACGTAAATTGGCTTATTTTAGTCCAAATATTATTTTATTTCTTCTTCAGGCACTTTTTATACAATGAATTATGTATATTAAAGGATTTTTTTATTTAACATTCGATACAACTAGCATTATTTCTTAGTTTCTCTATCTTAAATTCTGTACCGCATTAATCATTTTGCATAGATTAATTTTTGTTTCTTCGTTTGATACTACATTATTACAATTCATTTTAATTTTTAAAATAAATTTCTTCCTAGTTATTTTCATCTAACAATTACACTTTTTATAAAATTAATCATCAAATGGAATCTCGAAAATTATTTTATTTATTCTTGTATAATTTCCATTGTGATTAATATCTGAATTAAATTAATAATTGCGATGAAATTCATTTTATTGATTGAATATTTTATTCTTAAAATACGCTTTACACAGTGTCGTAGCTTTTCGAATAAGATTATATTTACGTAGTTTCGTGTTTTCAGATGATTTAGTTGAAATCAATAGTTGTATGAAGCCAAGCTATTTTATGGACCTAGTGTATAATGTTTTGATATTATTTATTTACTATAATAGTAATACGGAAAATAAAACTGAAAATTTTCAGCTAATGAAAACTTTTATATGCAAATTGCTGTAAATATAATCTTTAAAAATTATTACAATTGAGATTTAAACTTAGTAGGATATATGCAAAGCATTTACATAAATTCATCAATTTAATTGGTTAGGGGACGGGAAACACTATTCTGATAGAATTAATTCAAACCAATTTGGCCATGGAAAATAAAATCTTTTGGCGAAACGTGCGGCTGTCGTTATAAGGCGGTTTGGCCGCGATGAATAGGGAAGGCTATTTCATGTAGTCGAGGCGTTACGTGTATGTCTGTCTCCGTCTGGGCATAACCAACGAAACTCTTTAACTAGATACCGATAAGATATTGTAACAGACAATTGATAAGTGAAATAATTATTTAGCGATGACGAGTAAAATCTTTCACCAGAACAATTATACGTATTTATTGAAAAAGAGATTAGAAAACGTATATAACATACTAATAAGTAGAGAAGAGTCGCAATTTGATTCAATTTACTTAGACTCCTTGTCAAAGGTTATAAATAATAAATCATCTTCGCAACATTATTGAAATTAGTAATTTATCTAATTAATGGAATTTTATTCGTTACTACTTATGTAAATAATGAAAATATTTATGAATCCGATTTTTTTATTATGCGTAGCTAATCATTCATTTATAATTTCTATACTACAGTATATTATATTAGCATTCTAGTTCTAGTAATTGGAAAAAATAGGTTAATTTTTGTCCCAATGAGTAACTTGGTAATGTGTTATTAAAATTTCTCATAACTATACTAATACTTAATAAGCTTTAAAATTCTAAATAAATAAATTTTTTTTTCCTTAGAATATTTACAGCTATTTGACAAATTAAAATTAGATCAAAAGCTTAGTTATTGTTTTAGCTATATTATATAAGAAATTTAAATAGAAATGAAGGAAATGTTGGAAACAACTTTGTAATGGAATTTCGAAGTTTTTTAATCCTTTATTTCATTTTTTTATTGCCTTAATGAATATTTCTATAAATCACAGTTACAAATATATTATATTAAATAAGATTTAAATTTTTATTACTATGACATTTGTGGTAAAATATTAAATAAAACATCTAATAATAATCATAATTAATACGAGAATGTAATAATACGTATTTATGTATGAGAAGTCATTAAAAAGAATGTTAATGTTAAAATTAATAATATATATTATGTCATTTTTTAAATATCGCATCTTTGAAAAATTTATAACTTACATGAATAAGTGTTTAAAATTTTTTATAAGGAGAACTATAATATTCAATATATATATATATATATATATAAGATGTTTCAATCCAATCTTCATTTATTCCATTTATAATATTTCCAGATATTAATTTTATGATTGCGTACTTCGATTATTACATATGTAGAAAAACGATAAGTTAATTATTGTAGAGCTTTGGTATCGAATTTAATGAAATACTAAATAATATTGCTGCATGAATTTTTGTTATATTCGGAATGAATAATATGAAATACTTAATTGTTAAAAATTCATTTTGTTATAAATAATATAATTTAACATTATTTATATTTATATGTATAATAGATTTGTCTAAGAATTTAAAAAAATACTTTACATATATGCTAGATCAATCATTATATTTAACTGTTTTTTTAATCTAGAAAGTTATACATTTAAATATTAGAATACTGCATTATAGAATCTTGATTATGATATTAAGATTTTTTAAAGCGCTTCATAAATATAATAAAATTGAACAAAATTCATTTAATTATTGATTTTTTCTAAAATATAATTAAAATGAAGAATTAAAATGTCTATTATACGAATATGAAAATTTAGTTTGCATAAATTTAATTTTAAATACTTTTTTCATTTTATTTTAGTATGAAAAATTTAATATAATTAAAAAACATTATAAAGAACTTTGTTCTACTTTTTCGAAGCGCTTTAGAAATGTAAAATTGATCTTATTGATATACGATAAGTTGTTTTTTGCAACAAAAACCAATAAATTTCTGTAGTTATTACAAAAGAGGAAAAATATTTTAAGAGTAAAAAGAGAAATTTTTTTTAATAGTAAATTAATATTGATTTTTAATTTCTTGAATTTTGTTTTTTGATAAATAAGTTTTCTATCATTAAATTTGTCGTCTCATTAATAGAAAATAGAATTAACACAGATTCATAATATAAATACAATTTTATTTATACTGAAAAGATAACGAGGAAATGTTTGTAAATATTATAATCATTAAATATGTGACCCGTGACTCGCATATTTTTAATATTATATATATATATATATATATATATGATATTTCATATTATAAATAATTTTAATCTTTACTAAAGAATAAACTTACTAAAGAATCGTATAATAAAAATTGAAACCGAGATGCGATGGTTTAATGAAGTGTTGAAATATTTATTGAGATGTGCTTACAACCAGAAATATCATATTTATTTTGCAGTATATGTGTATGAAGATTTTTGTATTTTTCGATTGTGATGAAAATTTAAATCCATCGTCAACTCAGATCAGACTCAGTTAAAGATTTATCTACTCGTAATCGTTACATTATCAAAGGATTTGATTGCTTTCGCGTTAAATAAATGAAAATTTCATTGCTTTACGACACAGAACGTGTTCACATGGTTCCTTTCATTTTCACGTGCAGTGAAGTATATCGTACAGTCATGGTAACACGTTAAGGGAGTCTCAAGAAGAATTCTTACGTCGGTTGAATTGCACTTGAGAATCGAGGTGAAACAGCGAAAGGGCGGAAAAGGAGAAAGGAAAGCAAAGAATGGAAGGGAAGAGAAAAGAGTGCGGCAATTCAGTAGCGGGAAAGGAAGATAAAATAATGGCGTAGAGAAGTGAGATAAAGTAAAAGGAGAGGCGCACAATAAAGAGAATGGTGGAAGGGGACTAAAAAGAAACAAACGACTGAAGTTTTCTACTCACTGGGGAATGGTGGTAAGGCAAACAAATCGATGTGCAAGTGCATTTCTTGATTTCATTCCTGCGTATTTGAGATCGAGCTCAATCTTCTGCTCGTAATGTTGTCTATTCTCATATGTATTCTTTTCTCTGTCTACGTCTATCTTCTTTTTTAGGCTTTTTTAGGTTATTCTGCAATTTGTCAATCACATTGGGTGTTTTCTCACGTCTTCGTACATTTCCTCATTTCTGTTTGTTACTTTAGTTTTATTGCCTTATCATTCAGTATGGATAAATGGACTTTCAAAAGGAGGTATAGTTAATTTTAATGATTTAAACACAATTTTGTTTTGTTTTGTTTTTTGTTTTTTTTTGTTTTTTTGTTTTTTTTTTTTGTTATGTAAATACATAGGTAATTGTGCAGATACGTCAAGTGTTTTGATGATCGACGGACATTTATATTATACAATTTCTTATCTTGTCCGAACATCATTTGACATGAAGTACACAAGTGTGTCATAGAATATATCTGCAGATGTTTGTTTCTGTGTCATGATGAGTTGGACACTCGACTCACGCTCAAAGCATTTAATTGAGTGAGTGGAGAAAAGGAGAAGGGAATGTACGCGCATTCAGGTTATCGCGCTACTTCGGCAGTCGACGCCGGTACGAGTCAGACTTCGTGATAAAATTTTTCGAAGAAACGATCCTTTCCTCATTTAATTGATTGCCATCGTTACAATATCATTACAATTACAATTATTGAGCAATTATTACTTCAATAAACTCTGGCTTTATGCACTATTGTTTTATTTATACGAATTATAGAGTGAAATACAGTGAGTGTCGAATAGTCGGTGTGATATGCTTAGAATCTATTCTGTCGGCGTGGTACGTCATTGATAATCTATGAAATTACAAAATTCTGTTATATTAAATATGTTAAGTATAAGTGTATGTTACTTGTCATATTGCCATAATATGTGAAGGAAATTTTACAATCAAGAAAACGTAATTCAGTCAAGCATACGTAATTCTATGATTATTCTATAATAGCATTTTTGTCGATAAAAAAATTCGTAAGGTATTTAAAATGGAAATGGAACGGTCTTGCACGTTTGATGAATTGAACTTTGATGAAGCATGTGTAATATTAAAAAGCAATATAAATTTACCAAATTTATGGTTGTATACGTTATCATCCGATTGTATTAAGGTAGGTAATGATGAAACGTTAATGTTTTAGTAAAAAAAAAAAAAAAAAAAAAAAAAAAAAAAAAAAAAAAAAAAAAAAAAAAAACCCCAATTATATAAGTGATAACACGTGCTTTATCTCTATTCCAATAATTAGTGTCCTTACAGTAGAGCCGCTATGATAGAATCTGAAATAATTAGTATGAAAGTTAAAAGCGCGAGATCGCAGTATTGGCGAATTATTGAAACGGATAAGCATGAAGAATACATTCCAGCTTGGGATGAAAAGTATGATTACCATCATTCGGTTACTATAATTTTTATTTTCAATTTAATATTTATTTTTTAGTGGATTATACTGCCAACTCTCTCCAAATATTGGTGAGTTTGGTATTTATGAATTAACTGTCGACTACAATAACAGTTATAGCTTTGTTGCCAATAAGCAACCAGTTAATTCTCATTTACGTAAGTACATTTTCGTATGTGAAAAATTAATTATATTAACTATATAAAAGCAGTACAGCGAACGGAAAGAAAAATAAACTTCATTCAAATTTTTACGATTAAAATCTTATTTATTATGTACTTAAAATTTAATTGTGTTAGGAAGGAAAGGGACCTTTTCTTTTTTTAAATAAAAGTTCCTTTTATTTTAGCTCTGGTTATTATTTTGGGCTTGATTGCGTTATTTCTGTGCGTCTTATCGATCCTAAAAATAATTTTCAACTGCGTAAAAAGATGTCGATCAAAGGATGTGCAAATTGAGACGGTAGAAAGTTCATCGTCGAAGCCAAGATTACGGTCGCTCGATACCGTGAGAGGGTAATAATATCCACGTCCTAATGCCGATTGCAAAAATTTTTCACTAATCCTACAAATTATTTCTAGGATGAGCATCCTCCTAATGATTTTCGTAAATAATGGCGCCGGAGGTTACGTGTTCCTCGAGCACGCCACTTGGAACGGCCTCTTCGTTGGAGATTTAGTATTTCCCTGCTTCTTGTGGATCATGGGTGTGTGCATTCCCTTATCCATTTCCTCGCAACTCACTCGTGGGACCTCGAGGTTCTCCATCTGCTGTGCGATCGTCAAGGTGATTCGTTTTGGAACTTTCTTTTTGTACAACATGTACTTTCATTTTTCCTTCCTCTAACTCCCCTGCCGTACAATTTTTCTTTGTCTTTCATATTGCCTGTACACACAGCATTTGTACATTGTTCCCGTTCTCTTGTTAGCTATCGCGACACTTGAAATTTCCTTGATATTTACATTATTTCCTTCTTTTCAGCGAAGCTTTTATTTATTTTTCATTGGAATTTCTTTAAATACACTTGGAGGAAAAAATCAACTCGAGAGTATTCGGATCTTCGGGGTTTTACAAAGATTCAGCGTGTGTTATTTAGTAACTGCAATGATTTACCTTTTGCTAGTTTCACCGTGTACTGTAGTTTCAAAGGTAGAATTCATTTAATAATGAACTAAAGCATTACGATGCATTTTATTGACTTGAAAATTATTTTACAGCATTTAGGATCAAAAGTTGTATATGAAATACTTATTTTAATGCCACAGTGGATTATTGCATTTTTTATTCTTCTGGCTCATTGTGTTATTATCTTCTTACTACCAGTTCCAGATTGTCCAAAGTATGTGCACATTTTGTATCTGTAATCAATACTAGATTCGTTTGATCCTTATGGAGTATATTCGAATGATTATTATTTTTAATATTCACGTTGATTTATTAGCTACCTTTTAAAAATACCTGAATATAATCACACGTTTCCATTACTTATAAGATTAGCATGATTTTTAGAATACTCACGTGAGGTATAGTAAATACGTTAGAAATATATCTTCATTTGCAAAATAGAATTTTACTCTATAAAATTGTGGAACAACGTTATTCCCATTTTGTTGGTGGCTCAAAAAGTCGGAGGAACAAAAAAGTCACTCTATTGCTAATAAATATTGAGCTTCATACACTCTCCGAGAGAATTGCCATTAAATTTACGTATCCGATGATTATTCAAATATTAAGAAATTTATAAACGATGTGAATGTCGATTTAAACTTCATTCTGCTTGATATACATTCTAAACTTTTCTATTTACCAATAGCTCATTCGTATTTTAAAAATTATTTATAATTTATAATGCGTAAAAATCATAATGATAAATTAACAATTTCAATTTTTTGCGATAAAATTTGATTTGAAATAAATTATCATTTCATATTGTGCTCATTGTTTATAATAATAACGTATTATAAAATTCTGTTGGCATGCTTTATAGAGGTTATCTTGGACCTGGGGGTCGTCATGACGCTGGTAAATATTGGAATTGCGTTGGTGGTGCAGCGGGTTACGTGGATAAAGTTTTACTGGGCGTAAACCATATTTATCAATTTCCTACTGCAAATAGCGTATACGGATCTGGCCCATTTGATCCTGAAGGGGTCTTAGGTTTGCGTTGTTATCTCAATAAATTGTATAGAAAATTTCACGTGCATATTAGTTAAGTATTAATTGAAAAACAATGTAACGTTGTTTCAGGTTGTTTAACATCGATATTTCAGGTGTTTCTGGGCATACAGGCTGGTCAAATATTATGCCATTATGAAGACTGGAAAAATCGAATTGCAAGATGGTTAGTGTGGGCTTTGATATTCGGCGTTATTGGCTTATCACTTCATTTCACAGAAATCATCCCTGTTAATAAAAACTTATGGTATTGTTTTGACTATGGTATTCCTTTAAATTGTATAAAATAATTTGATTAAGTTGAAAGCATACATGCATACATACACACATACATAAACATCAAAAAAAAAAAAAAAAAAAAAAAAAAAAAAAAAATAAAAAAAAAAACTCACGCACGCACATACACGCGCATACACGCACACAAAATATGTGCAGGTCAGTCTCATTCGTTATGGTAACTACAAGTTTTTCCTTGGGATTACTCTCAGCCTGTTATTTTCTTGTCGATGTCATTGGCGTTTGGGAAGGTGGACCTTTCAGAATTCCAGGTTATGCGACACAACAAATGATTAATATAATATCATCGATGGCTTTTGCAGCAAATAAAAATAGTCTCTCCTTATAGGTATGAATGCTCTTGTGATGTATATCGGTCATCAAGTTTTCTACGAAATGTTTCCTTTCCATTGGAGAATTGGCAAAATGAATACGCATAGCTGGTTAATGGCCGAGTCCTTGTGGTGCATTGTACTTTGGACCTGCATAGCTTATACTCTTCATTGGAAAAAATTGTACGTAACATTATGAGCAAATAGAATTCTAAACGAGTTTATTAAAACAACGGAATGATAGTCAAATACTTATGTAAAATGTTCTTCACATCAGACTTTTATATGTGCGATTGTGAATGAGGGCAATAAAGAAGGAAGAAAAGAATTTTCCCGAATATTATTTTTCCAGCTGAAAGCGAGACGAAATTTCAATTACAGTTTAGTGGAATCTCAGCATTACGTACTCCGGTTTGCTTAATTGCGAAATTCGAGAGATCGGTAAGCGGCAAAGAAGAAAGATTAGGAGAACAAAGGCGAACTCGAAAGAGGGTCGTACTTATAATAGAATATGTTCTAAGGGCAACGATGGGGAAAAGTAGTTAGTTGACTAGAGGACGATTACCAGCGTATTGTCGTAATTTTTTTGCACAAGTCGTCGCGGAGTGGCAGGGATGAGAAGGTGCGCCGGAGCTCCAAGTGGGGTGGTAGAGTAGCGCAGGCTAGCGCAGAGACTCGAGAGGCAAGAAGGTTTGAGGTCGCGGATGGGATTGAGCGAGGAGGGGGTACAAGCCACGCGGAGAGAGTCGAGTGCCCGCGGGATATTCCTCCGTCTCGTCGTCACCCAGGCAAAACTCTCGGGCGAGCACTTTCGTTAATTAAATGCCGTTGTTCGGTTCAGCCGGTTGCTTTTTAATCGAGTTATCGTTTAAGCTGCGAAAGCGCCGCCACCCCTCTAACCCCCATCGCCACCATCGCCACCATCGCCAACCATCGCCCCCTACCACCCCGACAAAAGGCATCGGTTAGCGCGGTGGGAGAGGATACGGGGTCCGGCGAGCGAGGAGAAGGACGTCGGC